AGAGTTTACATGTTAATCCGCTTTGGCTGGCGCGACAGAACATCACAGATTGAGTGGTTTAAGCAACAGAAATTTATGTTCTCAGTTTTGGGAGCTCCACGTCTAAGATCAAGGTGCCATACCATTAGTTTATGGTAGGCCTCTCTCTGGCTTGGAGAGGGTGACCATCTTGCTGTGTCCTCAAATAGCCTCTTCACTGTGCACTTGTGGAGTTAAAAGGCATTTCTGGCTTCTCTTCCTCTTTTATAAAGACACCCAGTACTATCAGATTAGGGCCAGGCCCATATAACCTCAATATACCATAATTATCTCCTTAGAGACCATATCTCCAAGTACAATCATGTTGGGTGTTGGGGCTTCAACAGATGAATTTGAAGGAGACACAATTCTGTTCATGATAGCAAGTAAGTAGCAAGCACAGACACTGTGACTCCAAGATCTAATATTATTTTTGTACATTCAGAAATGTTGTATATTTATGTTATTGAGGTATAATCTCAATATTATACTTCAATGAGTTTTCAATAATTACATGCATCCATGTGACCCACATATATATATCAAGTGGTACTGCATGGTACTTCTAACCACCACACTCAACCAGATGGCATGAGGGTTACTACTGTCACCAGGAGTCATCCCAAGAATGGTAGACACATGGGACACATAGAGCAAGACTTAGCCTGGAGCTCCCACCCATACCTATCCTGTATGGGGCTCCTGCCTGGGCCAGGCCTCATGCTCTGCTGCTCTACTCTAAATCCCAGAATGCTGACACTTTTGATCAATGTTTCCCAGGATAGGCTCCAAGGCTCCAGCTCTCAAGAGAAGCTCATGGTGGTTTTCCACCAGCAGACCCTAGTGCCACCTGCTCTTTGGTAAAAACGCACCTCTTCCCTATTGATCTCCAGTTTAGAAGTAGTGGTGGCTTCCTTCTTTGCTTCATTCTGGGTGATCTCATTGGCCTCTTCCTCTTCCATTCCCCTATGAAACCAGTTCCCCAGATTAAATTCTCTCTGTGCAAAATGCTTGGCATAATTTCTCTCTCCCTAGGGGCACTTTTCTAGCTTGCTATGACTGGCTAGAAACTGGAGCGATTCCAGGCATACAGCAGGAGCCCAGGCACAGGGGCTGGAAGCTGAGGACTCTAAAAGCAGGAAGTCTGTCCAATCAGCAGCTGTGTTTACTTTCATTTTTCATTTGTTGACACCTTGTTGGTCTGTCTCATTAGTAATGGTTACTTACCTATGGCTCACCTATTTTTCAGGTGGATCTCTGAAAGCTGTCACATCTTGAGATGCCTTTGTCACCTGCTTTTTCTGCATCATTATGACAATAAGCTACTATCTGGGCTTGTCAAACTGCCACGTCTTTTCAAAATTGTGCTTGTCTATATGAAATGGTTGGGAAGAAAAGAGTAACTAAGGAACGTCCATCCCTGAGGAGCTTTCAACAGCCTATAGGTGTCCCCAGGGATCTTGCCAATCCTGCCAATAAGCTTGGGGGTGAGAATAGAAGGAAATCACAGAGGCTTAGAGGCAAAATGCCCAGCCAGCTCAAGTCCTGGCTCACTCTTTGGCACACTCAGGCTAACTGTAAAATCCATACTGCGTAGAACCCCATGACTACTGCAGAAGGACCTCTATCTCTAGTTTGGCTGCAAAACTAAATCTTGCCTTCCAAAGCCTCTGGCTTTAGGAGAGAGTACCAGAAGGCAGACTGCTTCCACTGGCCGGCTGCCCTGCATGCTGGGGATTTCTCCAGAACCACAGGTTATGAGTCAAGTTTCTTTTCCTCCACTCACACCACCAAAGCAACGGGCTATTGGCCTGCCCTCATCTCAGGAATACAAGTCCTGCCTCAGGGGGTAAAGGAAACCAGACAGTTCCCACTTCTCCTTCATTCTGTGTGATAAATCACTTCAGCCAGAGAACCATCATGAAATGGCCTGGCAGCTGAGGGGAGAAATGTAACCCAAAAAAAGAAAGAAAGGAAGAAAGAATCCTGTTAGTCACAGAGCTTTTCATCTGAAGCACAGAGCAGGCTTTTGCTTTCTGTGTGAATAATAAAATCACAGTCCTGTACTATATCAGTTCCTCAAACAAAAGCAACTTTCTAGAACGTAACAATTTGGGGTTTCTAAGTTGAATTTAGCTTTCACTGGAGAAATGCATAAATTAAAAAGAAGGTCTGGGTACCCATAAATGAGTCAAAGAAGTAAATAAGCTTGCTATTCAAACCAGGGAAACACAGGCCGGGAGGCAACTCCACTCTGTGGTCACTGGACACCTGTGAACAAACAGCACAGTCTCTGCCCAAGCTGGAATTTTCCCACAGCAACTTCAGACGTCCCGCCAAATGCCAGAGCTGTCTTTGAGATCTCTGAAAATAGAGTGAGAAGAAGGAAAGACCAAAAGAGATATTTCATTCCAAAGCAAATCACAGAAGCTTAAAGTTATTAGAGGAGAAGGACCGCAAGGCACATTACTAAATAAAGATAATATTTAACAGCAATGAAATAGCTTTTATGAAATAGCTTTTAAATAAAGATAATATTTAACAGCAATGAAATAGCTTTTAGGAAACAGAGGGAGAGAGAGAGAGAGGACGCATTGTATGACAGGAACAAAGTATTCTATTAAAAAATAAGAAGTGGGTACGGAATTGGCCATGTTAATGTCACATAAACCTAATTCGTGCCCCCTAAGCGACAGTGTGTGTGAAGTCACGGAACCTGGGCTCAACACTTCTATCTTACCAGCCTTCATTCCTTACCTCACCTTCCCCATCTCCTGCTGCTCAACATCCCCTTCCTCCTAAGCTGGCCTAGACTCTCAGAATCCTCCCAGAGAAGAGTGTTCCTATAAATCATTCAGCCTAGAGTGCTACTTACTTCCTGTCCTTTCTGGCCCAGAAGTACATGTAGAAATGTTATGAGATGGGGGATGGGAAGGAGAAATTGCTTCCTCATGTTGTAATTGGTAAGACACAGAAACATACTCTAAATATGACCTCTTTTTCAGTGACAAATCATCTTCTGTGGGTGCGAGAGCATTATTTTTAAATGCTGACTTTCAAAAGTTGTGACTCCAACTTTCAATAAAACACAGCCATATGTCTAAAGAAGGCAAAGAGATATTTATGAGCTTATTTCCAAATTTTGCTCTCTTTCCCATTTTTTGAATTTCTAAAGTCTGAAGTTCCATTAGACCTGGCCATACTTTTTTTTTTTTTTTTTAATCAGTACACCAAAGTTTTTGGGAAGTGCTTTATCCAAATCACACTCTGGTCCTGATAGTAATGGACCTTCATTTGCATCTGGGGCAACTCCATGACTTGCTTTGATGGATAGAATCTAGTAAAAGGGACTCATGGCAATTGCTAGTCTTAGGCCTCAGGATGCCTTGGAATTTTCACCCTGACCCTTAGGAACCCCAAGACTCCATGTAAGGAATCTCAAGTCTTTCTGCCAGAGACAGTCTCCCAAACATGAAGGTACTCTACTGACAGCCAGCACAGGCACAAGCAGAGGCTATGTTGGACCCTCCCACCCCAGCCAAGCTCAGCCAGCTCCTATTTAGCAGAAGTAAGCCTTCTCCTGAGTCCTGCTCACACTGTGGAGCCAAAGGATCATAAGAAATTGACTGTTTTATGCTACTGTGTTTTGCTTTAACTAGTTACATAACAGTAAGCTAGCCAAAATAGTTTCCATGCTCCCTTCCTTAATGGCAGTAAGTCTCAAAATGTGCTGACTAGCATCATCAGCAACACATGGGAACTTGCTAGAAATGCAAAGTCTTCGTCTCCTACTAAATGAGAAATGGGTGGGGACAGCAATCTGTAGGTCAGCACATCTTACAGCAGATTCTGATGCATGATATAGTTTGAGAACTGCTGTCGATTGTATCTATAAAACAGGGTCATCATAATATTTATCTCAGTCTTTATTAGAATGAATATATGTTGTATGAGTTAATTACATAGCAGTCTTTGGCACATTTCTTTTATGAATAGACTACAGTGGTCCTCGGTTCAGACTCACCGAACTTGAGTCTTTCCACAATTCTGGTCACAAATCCAGTTGGACAAGAGCAGCATCAAATAAAACTGCTGATATTTAGGTGGTATACATGACCGCCTAGATAAAGATGAAGTAAAGGGTCTGAGTGAGCCCACCTGGTCTAAGTTCTAGCCAGCAAGAAATAAGCAGAAGTAGGAAAGGAGGAGGTCTTTCACCTTCATACTGGCTGGAACTCAGATGTGAGCCCCCGCAACTGTCTTAGGCCATGGGGCAATCCTGAGAAACAAATCTGCAGAGCAAGAAGGTGGAAGGAGCCTAGGACATCGATACTATGGAGCTGTCATCTTAGCTCTGAATGGACTGACTGACATCTTGAACATAGAATTTTCTGTCTTTTGTAAGTGCCTATTATTTTAATATTCTATCTCACACAATTAAGAAGACAGCCTAACTAATGCATGTTCTTAAAAAATTAGTCTTCCTTCCCCTCACCTAACTGAGATGTTCTTTAATGTAAGAATATTTTATCTTCTGTACTTGTTCCAAGCTACCTTTTAGACCTTTTTTTTATTTCTCTAATTGTTTATTAACTGTCTCCTTACTTGACCTTAAACTTAATGAAGGCAGTTTTGTTTTGTTTTGTTTTGTTTATCACTAAATTCCCAGCATCCAACATACTTTTACTGTCCTGACAACCACTTGGTGAATATTTACTGAACCAAGTGGACAGATGGAACGATGGATGTGGGCACACCAAATTTGGCCCAGGCAACACTGATAAACTGACCAAGCTTGAAAATAAATCAATCTTCTTTTCACTATTGAATATTCAACAAAATTCTCCACTGTCCACATCATACTTGTAGTCCAAAATTTAATTTAGGTATGAGCAATAACAATAACTGTTATGGTTTATATCTTGATGTCCTTCAAGAGATTCATTTGCTCATAGGCAGGGCTTTGGGAAGGTGACTGGATTATGGGGGCTTACATCGACTTGTTGTTAGCAGCTGGGGCCGGCTCAAAAGAGGTGAGTGGCTGAGGGTGTGGCCTGGAAGCACTATCTCCCCATCCAGCTTCTCCTTTCCCTCTCTGCTGCCAAGCTATGATGACATGAGCACATTTTCCTCTGCCATGTCCCTCTGCCATTCTGCTCTTCCATGGAGCCAGCAGACAATGGACTGAAACCTGTCCAAACTGTGAGCAAAACAAACCTCTCCTCCTTCAAGTTGTGGGTGTCGGGTATTGTGTCCCAGCAACAAGAAAAGTGACTAAGATAGGAACCAGCAATTTTAGACCCCTTAAAATGTGTCAAAGATACATTCTAATAGAGGAGCATTCTACAATATACTTGACAGTGTCATTTTTAAAACTCAAATTCGTCAGAAACAGAAAAACCTTAGAAACTGTCACACCCAATGGAGCCTAAGGAGACAAGACATAAATGAGATAATATCCTGGACAGTATCCTCCAACAGAAAAGGACATCAGGCAAAAACTGAGATGTTCTGAGTAAATGATGGACTTTGGGTGGTAACAATTATATAATCAGTATTGGCTCATTAACTATCACAGATGTTTCTTATTAATGTAAGATGTTAATAGGGAAACTGTTGGTGGAGTGAGTCAGGGAGGGTATATGGAAGCTGTTAGTATTATCTGCTCACTTTTTCTGTAAGTCTAAAACTGTCTAAAAAATAGTGAATCAAATTTTCCCATAAGGTCCACATTAAACCTAACCATTGAAATTGATGCAGCTCTTATCCAACTGGATTTGTGACCAGAATTGTGGAAAGACTCACATTCGGTGAGTCTGAACTGAGGACCACTGTAGTCTATTCATAAAAGAAATGTGCCAAAGACTGCTATGTAATTAACTCATATAACATATATTCATTCTAATAAAGACTGAGATAAATATTATTATGATCCTGTTTTATAGACACAAAAAGTTCTGTTTCCCCAAATCCTTGAGGCTTACACCATACATTTCTTCTGGATCAAAATTTATTTGATTTGGTTATTTAAATAAAATGTATTGATTACTGTGTGCCATGAGGGACTGATTTGTAGGTGATTCTATGAGCACAGTCAAAACTGGGAAAGAAGACAAGCTTTGCAGCCACCCACTGAAATTTAAAGATCACAAGCAAACATTTTCAAGAATTTACAATTCTAGAATGTGTCATATTTGTATGTTGACAGCACACGCAATTCTCACAGCTAGAAACAGTTTAGCATCTAATTATCAAGAATAATTACTTACATATGAGGCTAGCAGATGGCACCTATTGTTAAAAACCCATAAATCATTCATTTTAAGTTAAAAAGATATTTCAAAAATGGGTTTGTGTCTATACAGTGAAGGCTTTATCTCTCAATACAATCCCAGGTCTGTACTAAAAGAACACCTACAATGAGAACAACATCTATAATTGAATTCCCTTCTAAGATACTCACTGTAAACTTCCTTATCTACTATTTTGGCTAGCAGAACCTCAGCCTTGTCATTACTAGCCAGCCTGTTGACCAAAACAAAGGTTGGACACTGTGGCTGTTCAAACTGAAAGTCCTGCCAGTGCCATTTGACCATGAAATGTTGTGACTGCTCACTATAGTAATGTACACTCAGACAGAAAAAAGCTTTGAAGAAATGTTCTGCAAGGGCTATTGTGTTGGTTTGGAGGATATTGTGCAATGGGGAACAATATAATACACAACACATATTTTATATGATTATTTATAATAGTCACCCAAAGAATGATATACAAAAGAGTACAGGAAATCTGTCCACACTCTAAGACCAAGGAATCCAGTTGAGGGCCTGGATCCCATGGAAATGTCCAGATGAAGGCCTAGAGCTCATAACAATGCTGCCCACAAGTCCACCTGGAGACCTAGAGCCCATAACAATATCTCAGGCAGGCCTGTTTCAGGGATCTGCTGTGACAGCCCAAAGGTCAGTGGTGGAATCTTGGAAGTCTGTGCCAGAAGGATGAAGGAGCTGTGCTAGCAGGCTGAGGGATCTGCACTGGAGCTGGGAAGCGACGCTCAGAAGAACCAGAGCTCCTCCAAAAGGTACCACAGCCATCCTCAGCCACAGTGAGGTCCTGAGCTCCTCCAATGATCAAGGTGGCCAAGTTCCCACCAGGGAAGCCAAAGCAGCAAGCTTCTTTAGGAGACCAGCAGTGTACCATCTTCCTCTCTGGAGCCAGGAAGCGATGCTCAAAGTGAGGACCAGAGCTCCCCCAAAGTGAACCAAAGCCATTCTCAGTGCCAACGACATCCCAAGCTCCTCAGAGGATGAAAACAGCCAAGTTCATCAGGAAAGCCAGTATGATGAGCTCCTCCAAAACAACCAATAGCTCCTTTTACAGCTTCTACCAGCTCCTAACACCCTTTCCTCTGCTCCCAACAGCCTCTTTAGTTCCTAAAAGCCTTTCTTCTTCTCCAGGTCTGCCTCTTATGCTGCTGGCAACAGTCCCCCGGTGGGCCTCCCACACCCAGCACCACACTTACTCAGTTCAGCTGGGGGTTGTAAGTTGACCACCAGTTATCAGTCCACTACAGCTATCATCCATGAGGTCTGACTTCCATAGTAATTAATAGGTAGTATCCAACCTATTCATCTGAAACAATTCCCAAGTGTGACAGACTGAATGTGTCCCCCAAAATTCATGTGCTGAAATCCTAACCCTTAATGTGATGTGGGGCCTTTGGAAGGCAGTTAGGTCATGAGAAAGGGACACTCATGACTGGGAAAAGTGCCCCTATGAAAGGCCCCAAGGAATGCGTTCTCTCCCTCTCCCTCCCCCTCTCCCTCTCCCTCTCCCTCTTCCCTCTCTCCCTCCTTCTCTCTCCCTCCCTTTCCCTCTCTCTCTCTCCCTCCTCCTTTTCCCTCTCCCTCTCTCTCTCCCTCTCTCCCTCCCTCTTTCTCTCCCTCCCCCTCCCTTCCCCTCTCTCTACTTGTCTCTCCCTCTCCATTTATCTCCCTCTCCCCTTCCCCCTCTCCCCTCTGTGCCTGGCCTTCCTGTGGCCTCCAGAACTATGAGAAGTAAATAGACGTTGTGTAAGTCATCCAGTTTATAGTGTTTTTAAATAGCAGCTAAGCTAAGACACAAAGGAGTGCTCTGCATCTGTAATTTCATGTGTTCTCATGGTTCCTTCACCTGCCTTTCTCTCTCCTTAACAAAGTTCAGCTAAAGCATCAAATCCTTCACTCTTTGCACTCCCATTTATATACACTCCTGTGGCAAGTGTGCTGATCCCAGTCATAGGACTGACAATTTGGTATGCTTCAAGAAGTATTGAGTGAATGCCTCTGAAGCATATAACATGTAGGAATCACCAGTGAACCAATCAAAGATGCCTCCTCTACTTCTGAGGAAAGCATACACAAATGAAGATCACACATAAGTAAATTTTATAGTATGCCGTACTGATAAAGTACCATAGAAAAAGACTGTGGAGGAGGCTGAGGTGGACTGGGGCATGGAGGAGGTTCAGACTGTACCTCTCAATGGGGTACAGGGTTCCACGAGGACATGAGATGTGAGCAAAGTGTGGAAGAAGGAGAAGGAGTTAATGCTGCAGATCCTGGAACAGAAGGATTCTAAGGAGAGGGAAGATCTAGCAAAGGCCCTCCAGCAGAGACATGCCTTGCAAATTTGAGAAACTGCCAAGAGGCTGGCAAGTCTGGAGCAAAGCGCGCCAGCAATGAGGAAGGAGAGGAAGAGGGAGAAGAAGGAAGGGTGATTTGGTAGAGCCTGTGGGTCATTACAAAGACTGCCTATTACTCCAAGTGAAACGGGTAAGAGTGGAGTGAAGTGGGTAAGAGTGGACTTCTGAGTACAAGAAAGACATCAGCTCACTGAGTTTTGCAGGATTTGCTCCTGCCACTATGTTGAGAAAAGATTTGTAGTGGGGCCAAGACAAAAGCAGAAAAACCTGTTGAGAGGTGATTATAGGTAAGAGATGATGTTGCCGCAGGCCAGAAGAGCAGCAGCGAAGGAAGGGAACTTCTGGATTTAGAGCCGTGGTGGATCCTAGGTAGGGTATAAGAGATAGAGAAGAGCCAAGATGGACTCCTGGGGTTTTGTCTTGAACAATGGACAAGACAATGGAGTTATCGTGAACTAAGGAGGAAAGAAAGAGGAACAGGCTAGGATGCAAAGAACAGAAATTAAATATGAATGTGTTTGTTGTCTGCAAAACCTTCCATTCATATTTTCTGATAAGATGGAGCAAACACAGGAGGTGTACACTCAGACAGAAATAAGCTTTCCCCCATAAGGAGACTGGGTGTTGGTGATTTGAAAGAAAGCCTGGTGATAGGAAATTAACAATGGTTGTTGTATTATATATTGTTATCTTCAAAGTGGTTACTCAGAAAAACAAAACAGGCATGTAAGATTGATCAAACAATTAAACATTAGCTGTTCATGGATTCAGCAGAGGGGCACATTTGAGAAGTGCTTCATTTCTTACTTCTAACACTCCTGATGTCACAGACAACACCACAAGAAAGAAAAGGAAAAAGAGAACTCATTGTCTGAGTTGAAAAGTGATTTAGAGGAATTAGACTCAGATCATGAAGTTTTTTAAATTCCTGAAATGATTTGCTTATATTTGCCTTTTTCTATATAGCACAAGAATGAAATATGATTCTTTAAATCTAAGTTTAAAAGGTTTTCAATAAATATAATTTTAGTTCTTAAATCATTGTGTCATAGTTTATCAATTCTTCTTAGTAATATAAAAAGATCTAATTTAATTAGATGCAATTAAATAGGGTGATTATATCCAATATCACTAATCACTTACAATGAGCCAGGGATATAGAAGTGATATATATGGATCTTTTCACCCTTTCAGCAATCTTATGATGTCATTACCATTATTTTACCCCTTTTTAGAGAACATTCAACACACTGAAAAAAATTTACATATCTTTTGTTTGATCCACACAACTTTTGTATATTTTTTAAAAAGTCCTCAATCATTCTTTAATATAGGCAGAGCTAGGAAATATTGAGGTTTAAGTTCCATACCACTGCAATAAAGCTAATATTGCAATAAAGCAAGTCACACAGATGTATTTGGTTTCTTGGTGCCTATAAAATTTATATTGACACTATATTATAGCCTACTAAGTGTGCAATACTATTATGTCTTTTAAAAAAAACTATGCTCATACCTCAATTAAAAACTGTTACCAGTCACCTGAACCTTTGTTGGGTCATAATCATGTTGGTGGTGGATGGTGATAATTGCTGCCTACAGATCAGGCTGCTGCAGGTTAAGGTGACTGGTAATTTCTTCAAACAATGAACATTCAAAGCCAATGAGGATTTACTGTTCCTTGCACAAAAGATTTATGTGTAGCATGCAGTGCCACTTGACAGCATTTTACCCACATAACTTTCAAAATCGGAGTCACTCCCCTCAAACCCTACCACTGCTTTAGCAACTGTTTAGGTATTATTCTAAATTCTTTGTTGTCATTTCAGCAATGTTGAACAGTATTTTCACCAGAAGTAGATTCCATCTGAAGAAAACACTTCCTTTGCTTACGCAGCTGAAACTCCTCGCCCATTATAGTTTAATGGTGAGATGGTAGAAATTCAGCCACATCTTCAGACTCCATGCTATGGTTCATGTCTGGATGTCCCCCAAAGCCTCATGCAGTTATGGGGCAAGCTTCTAGAGTTTATGACTGATTTATGGGTATGAGTGCTACATCTGCCCTGGGGCAGATAGTGTGTATACAATATGAGGGAGGGAAAGAGGCTTGTTCTTCCTTCTGCCGCTCTTCCATTCTGCTCTTGCTGCTTTTTGCTATCTTCCGCTGCCATGAACTGTTGCCTTGTGCCATGTGCCACTCTGCCTTGGAGCCAGCTGAGTATGGACTGAAATATCCACAAACTGTGAGCTAACTAAACCTTTCCTTCCTTAATTTTGGGTGTTAGGTATTTTGTCTCAGCAATGAGAGAAAAATAACCAAGACATTCCACTTCTAATTCTAGTTCTCTCACTATTTCTCACCACATCTGCCATTACTTCTTCCACTGAGGTCTCAAACTCCTCAAAGTCATTTGTGTAGTTTCCTTCATGTTAATGAAATCAAACACATTAATGTTGACATTTTGACTTTCCACAGATCACAAATTTTCTCAATGGTATCTAGAATGATGAATTTTTTTCTAGATATTCAGTTTACTTTGTCCAGATCCATCAAAAGAATCACTATTGATGGCAACTATAGACTTATGAAATGTATTTCTTTAATAATAAGACTCGAAAGTCAAAAGTACTCTGTGATAAATGGCTACGGGGTGGATGTTTTGTTAGCAAACATGAAAACAAAAACAACACTAATCTCATCCATCTCAGTCAGATATCGTTGGTGACCGGGTTCACTGTCAATAAACAGTAATATTTTGAAAGGAATCTTTTTCCAAGCAGTAGGTCTCAATCATGGACTTAAAATATTCAGAAAGCCACCATGTAAACAGATGTGCTATCATCCAGGCTTGTTGTACAATCTACAGAGCACAGGAGAGTAGACTTAGAATTAATTCCTAAGGACCTAGGTTTTTCAGAATGGTAAGTGAACATTAGCTTTAACTTAAGGTCATCAGCTGCATTAGCTCCTTCCAAGAAAATCAGCTGTCCTTTAAAACTTCTGTAGCTATGAATGTTCTAGGTTATATCTTCATCTAATAGAAGCCTGTTTCATCTATGTGAAAAATCTGCTTACAGTAGCTGTCTTCAATTACCTTAGCTAAATCTTTACTATCATCCTAGCTAAAAATCTAGATGGCTATGCAGCTTCTACATCATTACTTGCTTCACCTTATACTTTGACATTATAGTGATGTGTTCTAGCATTGTAGAAGTGATGGTTTCTTTCCTTAAACCTCAAGAACCAACCTGTTCTACCTTTAACTGTTCTTCTATGGCTTCTTTACCTTTTTCCACCTTCACAGAATTGAAGAGAGTTGGGCCTTGCTGTACATTAGGCTTTGGTTTAAGGCAATGTTGTGGTTGGTTTGATATTCTATTTAGAACACTAAAACATTTCCATATCAGAAATAAAGCTACTATACATTCTAATCATGTGTCTGTTTAGTGGAGTAGCACTTTTACAGTAGTTTCCTTCAATAATTTCTCCTTTGCAGTCACAACTTGGCCAAGTAGCATAAAAGGTCTACCTTTCCGTCTGTCTTGGCTTTCTACATGCCTTCTTTTTGGGGGGGGGGCGGTTTGGTTTTTTTCTGGTATCAGGAATTGAACTCATGACTTTGTGCTTGCCAGGCAAGCACTGTGCCACTGAACTAAATCTCCAGCCCCTCTACATACCTTCTTCGAATAGCTTAATTGTTTCTAGCTTTTGATTTAATGTGAAAGGCTTGTGACTCTTCCTTTCACTAAACTCTTGAGTTCATTAGAACTTAGAAGCCATTGTAGAGTTGTTCATTGGCCTAATGTCAATATTGTGTGTCTCAGGGACCAGGAAAGCCAAAGAGAGGAAGATGCGAGACCGTCTCTCCTTCATCAGCTGATACCGAGTACGACAAGCTGCCTGATGCTGACTTAGCAAGAAAGGCCTTAAGACACATCAAAAGAGTCTTATCATCTACTTTGGAAGATGAGCCAGGGGTGGTGAAATTTCTAAAAATGAATTGTCGCTACTTCACTGATGGAAAGGTATATGGTGGTGCTGTGTGTTTGCTTTCCTTGGAATCTGTGGAAAATGAAGGCTGTAAGTCACTGGAAGGAGGGCTATGGTAAAATATTTACTTATGGCTCCCGCTCAAGATTTGACAAACATCTGTTTGTCCCCAAGTAGTCAATGACTAGCACTGTACTGGCCAAGGGAATTGTCATGAGAAGGAAGATGAGTCCTCGTGACCTTGGAGTTATCACTAACCCTTCAGTTGTTGACCTGGAAATTCTTAGGAACTTCTTACACTTAAATTCTTAGGTGTAGGAAGTGGTTACCAGAAAACTAGACTCAGACTCACTAACTCTGCTGTCCTCCACTCTGAGCCCATAGGCAAGGTATTTAAATCCCTAAAGGTCATCTTTCTCATCTATAAAATATGAACAATAATAAAATATAACTAACAGGGTGGGGTTGTTAAAAGAGCTAATTCATGTATAGAAATTATCACCTAATCTGAAAAAGGATAATTTCTCATCCTGCTACCACTAATGCTAGTATTAAAAATGCTAGTTGTTTTTAGCTTTTTAGTTGTTGATATTTTACACAGAAAACATCAAACTTGTAATGAACCTCTGAAGAAGGAGCTGCTATACTGATATTCTGTGTTCATTGCAGAGTTCATATCAGGTTCCACATAGGGGGAAAATGTGTTCCTGACGTGCATTTGTAACTTCACAAACAAAAATAAATAATGCCTGAAATACAGAGAGGGAGAGAGATAAGAGACTAGCCAGTCAGTGGAGCAGTGAGCACACAGACAATATTTATTGATTAAGCTGACCTCTAATATGAGTGAGATTCATGGTACCCCAAAATAACTACAACCATAACATCAAAGATAATTGATTATAAATCACTGTAACAGATGTAATAATAATGAAAAAGTTTGAAATATCGTAAGTGTTACCAACATGTAACCCAGAGATATGAGGTGAGCACATGCTGTTGGAAAAACGAAATGGCTGTGACAGACCTGCTCCACATAGGGTTGTCACAAAACTTCAATTTGTGGGAAAAAAAACCTGCAAAGCACAATTAAGCAAAACGTACTAAAACAAGGTATGCTTATAATCTCTCACCTCAAAAATTTTATGCCTACTCCCTCTGCTCCATGTAAACATCTTATTCCAGTCTTCTATGCCCTGTTTTTGTTCCCTGTTCTGGTCAGTAAACAGACACAGAAAGAGGCACTAGAAAACTTTGTTCCTAGCCTTGAAGTATGGACATGTAATGGAGTAAACAATTACATGAATGGGTGAAATAAAATAACACAGGGCAAGTGTTCTGCCTTTTTGTATGCAGCAAGCTCTGACTTGGAAGGACAACTCAGGGCAAGCCCTAAGGCAAAGAAAGAGTATGTTTTAAACTTTCTGGTTTCATCATATATTATGGCTCATTCCAATAAGCATTCTTGGCTGCAACAAGCCACTTAGGGAGCATTTCAGTTATAACCCTTTCACATCTTGTAGCACGTAGGCCGCAAGAGCATAAAATATTTATTTCATTTTAGACTAAAGATGATATGTTAGGTTGTACCAGCATTAAGTTCTGAGAATGATTCAGTTCCAGCTTCCTGGAAAAAGTACAAGAAACTCTGACACACAATTACAAAAGCTTTCTACTGGCTCAGCTCAAAACCACAGTAACAGACAATAACATTTATAGGGTATTAGACAGTAACATATTGGACAATAGCATTTTCAGGTTCAGTTCATGAATCTACCCAGGATTACTGTACAGAAAAAAGAAGGGATAAAAGGGACGGTCCATCCTGGAAAATCACAATCTAGTTATGGAGACTTTGATTAAGAAACTGTACTATTAAAAGCCTGTGAATATACTAGATTTTAGCAAATTCAATTCCATTTCACCATGTATAATGCTCATTCATAGTCTGAGATTATATGCACTAATTGGCTTCTTAAAAGAATCTCAGAAGTGTAAATGTATCTGTTTTAACCAATGGATTAGAATGGAATAAAGATTTTTTTCTAATTTACAAATGCAAAACTCTAATGGTATAAAATTTGCTTGTGCAAGAGAAAAGACATGTGTGCCCTCTTCTAAGTCCTATTGGCAAGAAAATATTTCCTGTAGTCACTGTCATTTTTGACAGACCCTTTTTTAAAAAATATAATACATGATAGACTAAAACAGTTAACAGGACTATATTCCTTGCTAAGGAAGATCTGCACAGCAAATGAGGACTTGTAATCAGGACTTTGAATTGTTGAAGGGTTTATATTCTCATTTGTTGCCTAAAAGTGTGTGCAGATGAGATTTAATCTCAGTTTTTGAGATCTCATATAGCATAGTGACTACAGTTAATGATAATGTATAGTACACTTGAAAATTGCTACAAAAGCAAGTCTTAAATGTTCTCACTACAAAAAAAAAAGTTTGGTGAGGAAAATGTTAATTACCTTCATGTCACAATATATACATATATAAAAACATCACATTATACATTGTAAATATATAGTTTTCACTTGTCAATCATATCTCCACAAACCTGGAGTGGTAGTGGGGGATTTTGAAAACAGATGCAATGTTTTTCAGCCTTGTCATCAAAAGAAATAAACTTACTTTAAAGTCGCAAAACAACAAGAAAACACAAATATATTCTCCCCTTCACCCTCACCCTTAACACAAAAACAAGAAAGTCCTTTGTAAATTCTCACAGAAAGGGAGGGAATAAAAGTTTTGGTGGCAGAAGGTTTTGAAAATACACAGCACTTCCCTTGTTCCATCTTTGATGCTACTGTTGCAAATACATCCCTATGAAAACAAAAACTTGAGAACCATTCATTGAGTATCACAGTACACAAGTCGCAAAGGTGAACAAGTTTAGTTTGATGAAATATGAGAACTCTTACCTTATGAGTTAACAAAGTTATTATGATGACCTTTCACTCTGCAGAGAATGCTGCTTCCAGCATGGTCTGAACCATAGTATCCTGAACCTGAATTTAGTTCGTGATGACTCCTGTTAGGGAATAAGTCTAATATGTTTTGTCTTCCAAGGTTACCAATATGATGTTTATGACTGAATGAAAATCAACACAGAGAACAGAGTTTTATCAAGATGCATGTGAACTTCAGAATTAAGACTGATAGGTTCACTGACCATTTTATTCTTTTTTATTCATATATTAAAAGAAACATCACTTGCTCTTTTTTAAAATAACAAAGGATGGTTTATTTGGAAAAAAAACATGGAAAAGGAAGAGGATAGACAGCTACCATGGGGTAGTAGAGGGGATCAAAGCTAAAAGTCCATGAGCTCTTATTCCTAGCTCGTTTTACTTAGGTCTAGTGTCTTCCCATCCCCCAGGTGGGCGCTAGTCACTATCTGATCTGCTTTCTTGACTGTCTTTGATCCTAACCTAGGCATGTCTGCGTACATTCCTTCTGGCCATATTCTGGCTCTTTGGTTTCTTCCTTCTTCCAGTTCTTTTGTAGTGAATAAGTGAAAGAGAGAGGGCTTATAGGAAGGCAGCTTAGACTTAGTGATTAAGAAAAGGGGACATATGTGTATATGTGTACCTGGTGCAATACTATACTGGTGTTAAAGTGAGAACATACCTACATATGCATATGTGTAGGTGTGTGCATGTGTGTGTGTGTGTGTGTGCGCGCGCGCATGTCTCATACTAAATGCGTCCTTAGGTGGCTTTCTCTTATCTCTCTTGCATTCTGTATGCCACTTATTCTTTTTATGTCACTATTCTAAACAAGAAATAGTCTTTGGTATGTCTGAAATTCACACTATGATAAATTGTGTTTTACTTCCATCACAGAAAGGCACTAGCTTTTAAGCCCTGTAAAATATAGTAGGAACATTTCACATTCTTTGTTTTCTTTTAGTAAGCATTGTGTAGCATGGGCACAAAGCCTGAAGGGAAAGGAGCAAGACCTAATGAGCCAGTTAAAGAATCAAGAGCATCCCTATTATCGTGTATTATTACAACTAATGCCTTGGATACTTGACTACCAACATTAGTTTGAGAACCCTACAGTCAAAAATGTACTATTTGGGCAGGACTACAAAAAAGTAAGCTTGTTATCTTGCAAAGTTCAATATTTCCACCATCCCACTAATGCTATTTTTCCAGGGCTTCTTGAAAAATGGCATTGTTTTTCATTGGTTCTTTCCAGGTGCTTTATTGAGGGATGATGTTCCAAACAACTTAATTAAGGCAGGGCAGGGAATGCTGACCCCCATATACTTCTGTTCTTTCTACGTGATTTCTCATGAGTGTAATTGTGGAGGAAGCAGAAAACATCATATTGGTCACGTGCAAATGATTCTAGCATGCATCGTTGGGTGAGATACTCATCAGTGCATTAGTCTACTGAAGAGTTTATACAGTTAAATGTGATGTTGGGAGGTGAACCCTGGACATGGGTGGGGCATAGTCTGGAAGGGTCTATCTTCTTCCCTCCTCCCTTGACCTCTCTTTGTTTCCTGCTGCCATGCCATAAAGGTACTTTACCTTTGCCATGCCCCTCTGCTAGGCTATCTTGCCTTGGAACCAGCAGACTATGGACTGAAACCTCTACAAACTGAGCCAAAATAAACTTTTGCTCCTTTAATTGTGAATATCAGGTAAGTATCCATGACAAGAAAATAACTAAGACACCCAGAGACAGCCACGGTGAATTCTTTCAGCTGATTCTTTGGGAATGACCACGTTTCTCTAAATGACATGACTTAATTGTGGCACTCTGATATTTCTGTTTTAGGTAATACTGACTTTTCATTATGGATATATGGGGCTATTTTCCTCCCTCAAGATGTACCCACTACATATATGAACCTTATACTGTGTATAATTATTTTAGGTAGACTTATAATCTGTATTTGCATTGTTACAATCTTTCATGTTAGTCAGATTTGAGCCACACAGTAAGCTATGATTTTATAATTCAGTTCTTCTGTTTTCTCACCAACATCTTGTTTTCCAAGAAATATCTTGTTTTTCCTGGAGTATTGTTCTTTTATCTAAGTTTTCTAAGCACGTGACTAATTCAAA